GGGGGGGGCAGCCAACCCTGTGAACAAAGGGCAAAAAATGGCCAAGGCAGGGAAGCAGGAAATCTCCCAAGTCTCTCCTGAGACCTGTAAATCCTTGGATTTGGCAGTGGGATGCCACAGCGAGTGCAAGGCTACAGAAATGTCGGGAGTTAACAGTGGAGGCTGGTTGGGTAAAATGCTAATAATTTATCAGGCGTGTTTTGAGTTCTTAAAAAGGATTTTTTTAAAGTAAACAGATGAGTCATTTCTTTTCCCCTCCTGCTGCTGGCTTAAGGAGAATAATTCCAAAATTCTCTCATCTCATGAAATGTTCTGCAGAAAACATTCACAAAAACAAGGTTGAGGGGTGTTTGTTTCCTTTTCCAGCCTCAGCTGAGACAGATTACAGGCAGGCAGAGATGTCCAGGCACCAAAAAACCAGGAGCAAAAATAAAATCCTTTATTCAGAAAGTGACAAGTGTCAATAAAAAAAGAAAAAAGAAAAAGAAAAAGATAATAGTTTCTACAGATAAGGACAATGAGGAGACTGCTAAGCAGATTCAAGCTGGAAAAAAAGCAGACGTCTCTGTTCAGGAATTAAAAGCTATTTTCTTCTGCTCTTACATAATCTCTCCTTCCCTGCTTTTTAAAATGACCATGTTAAAACCCTCCTGTCTCTGCAGCATACACCAGCATCTTTGCTCCTCCAGCTGCTGCAGCATAGCCCATATTTTGCACATGACGCTGGCTCTTCCCCACGTTTCTGTTTGCTTGAGAAGCATGAGATCGCGGTGTTTTCATAGGGAATTAATGATCTGGCAGGGACAGGAAATGACCCCCTGTTCTCCTGGCAAACCCATTTAATGTTGAGAAAGAGAAAAATTAAGATGAAAATTATGCTGCGTAAGAGACTTGAGGCATTAGGATGCTGTATGGACCCATGGAGAGAGAAAGATAGATCACTCCTGAAGATGAAAGTATAAAACGCAATAAAAAAAACGCTATTGCTTCTTTAAAAGGTGACGGAGGCAGAGGAAATATCTGGATGAGGGGAAGAGCAGCTCATCTATCACCATCAGACACCTTGAAGAAATGTCTGTGGGGTTGGTTGGGTTTTTTTAATGCATAGTCAAATACTGTTTTCCAAGCCAAATACTGTATGTCTCTGGGATATATAAATATATAGCACTGAAAGTGTGACTGGCACTCCCACGCTGCCTCCGGGAGAGGAAGGAGAAGAGTGAGGTGAGGTTCAGCCCTCAACCCAGGTTTATGGGTTTGGAGTGAGGTTTTACCCCCTCACCCTTCCTAGGTAGAAGCGTGCCTTTCTGTACTGCCAGTGCACCTAAAAAAAAGAGAAGAAAAAAAAAAAGAAAAAAAAATCTATATATTTATATACACTTAGAAGTATTTCACAATCCTGCCCATGGTCTGCCGTTTGGCAGCAGCTGGCTGCCACCTACACCAGAGTCACAGCACAACTGGCCACTTGCACCCTCTAACTCAATTTTCAGTTTCATCCAAGGGACAATCCCAGCACTGCTAAACATGTATTACACTAAACACATCTTATCAAGGTCAGTAAGCAGAGAGAATGAAGAGGATCCAAGTCCCCAAGCCTCAAAAGAGGAAATGTTTGAAGATCTGGGATTGAGAGACAGTTTGAAATTGTCCAAAGAGGTGTTTTGTAGTTCCTGGAGCCCTTTTTGGTGCTACATACACAGAATACATGGTACAAAACCATAAATCAACATGGAGATGACTTGAATGAAAGTAACTTTTCAATGTTCGCATACAAACAGTGATAACCACACTATGTTTCTCCTTTAATAAAAATGAACCCAAAGTATGTGCTGGGTTTGGGGTGTGGGGGGTTTATTGGGGTTTTAAAATTTACTTTATTTTTTTGAGATTGTTGCTTCGCTGCACATAAAATATTTAGAATTACACAGTTTTTAAAACAAGCTTCATGTACCTAATGTACACGAAGGTAATCTCATTCAGTTAGGTTTCCTCTGCCTACCACACCTCAGTGCTGGAAATTCAATTTGGGCTTTTAATATTTAATTTGATGTTTGTTTTAGTTGAAAAGAAGCTTGCAACACTGAAAAGAGCCCTATTGTAAATAACCTGGGCTTTCCCACCAGGGTGCT